CAACCACAACTGCCACACGATACACACTATTACCCCAGCAACCACCACCGATATTAATGTCAAAACACCACCACAATCTCATCCTCCACCACCGATATCACGGCATTCGCCATCAAGTCATTAACTACCATCGCCAAGTCAACACTCACCCACATCAACCGTCACCAAGTCAACAGTCACCCCATCAACCACACACAGCACACCGCTGCGGTCTACCCCTTGCTCTCACCCGGCAAATAATGCCCAACTTAACAACTCAGGAATTTACAACAATAACACCTACATAAATATTGACTAGAAACTTCTGAACTAAAATGAGAAAGACCTGGAATTTGCGACAAGGCAGAGCAAACAGGTGCGGATCGAAATTCGTTGTAAATTCATATTTACGCTGCCTTTAGCGTTTTATGATGTCTTCACTGAGCTAACAAGGACAACACACACACACACACACACACACACACACACACACACACACACACACACACACACACACACACACACACACACACACACACACACACACACACACCCTTCTCTACCCCTTCTCCCGCGGTTGACGGGGCTTAAGCCCATCACCACCAGTACATTTTTACAACGACAGACAGAGCTTTAGCTGTGTAACTTACCAGGTAGCGTCGGAATCCGGAAGAGGTCATTTATCTTGCTTTTAACCCACTTTTCCGCTGGCCATTAACGGGAGTCAATCTCCACGCCAAGTCAGGCACGATCATTTATCCCTGTTACCTCACGCCATACTGGACTGTCACCCGCGTCCTGCTGGTTCGTCACCCGCGTTCTGCTAGTCTCTCAGCCAATTCCTGCTTATCTGTCACCCACGCCCTTCTGGAATTTCACCACTGTCTTACTGGTTTGTCACCCTTTCCCTTCTGGCTTGTCACCCACGCCTTTCCAACCACACACTAGTATAGCTTTATAAAACATTTCTCGATATTTTTCCCGATCTTATGATATTATGTTCCATATCCCATGATGTTTCTCCATTGACCAAGATACTCCATTGTTCAAGATTTATGGTATTGTTCCACATCCTCCAAGAGTGTTCCATATCCTACGATAGTGTTCCACATCTGTTGTTGTTCCATTGCCCAAGACAGTGTTCCACAACGCTCCCATCCGGTATTTAACCTGCCTGTTTTTTTTCTTTATTGGGTACAACGACACAATACAGTCTTAACCCGACCAGAAGCGCACAAACCCAATCAACCTACCTAACTGAATCTGCCGTTGTAAAGAAAATGTGAATATTTCTGAGCCGTTCCTGTTCATAGAACTTTGTAATTTGCTCGCTGGAGACCATAACATGCAAAAGGAGACGTATTATTTGAATGGCTAGATTGACCCTTGAACTTCTAGACCACAAAAGCAAAAAGTTAATAATAGGGATGTCAACCTCCTGTTGTAAAATATATGGCTCATAAACAACAGTACTTTTGAAACCAAAGTTTAAAATTACATAATTTCCGTTATATGCTTTCATATAGTTCTATAAACTGCGAAGCGGAATGTTAATGAAATATGTTGCGCTGCATTGTGTGATTCATCATGAATATAGCTGTTTCGGCGTTTGTCATAATATCCAGCGTGCACACCTGGTTATTTTCTATAACACGTTGTGCAGTGAATTTCATCACGGGAGTAGAGGCGGCGTGCCGTATGCAGATGAGTTAATTATCCTCTGGTAACTCATAAAGGTTTAGAGTATGCCACGTCTGTTTTAAAACATTTTGTTAATAAACCGCAAGCTTCAGTTATGTAGTTGGTGGAATGTTGTTTTGCGCGAGCGCACGCACTCACACACACACATACACACACACAGGGGCCCTCGCGGCTGAGTGGACAGCGCTTGGGGTCGTAGTTCTAATGGTCCGGAATCGATTCCCGATGGAGGCCGAAACAAATTGGCAGAGTTTCTTTCACTCTGATTGACCTGTTCACCTAGCAGTAAATAGGCACCTGGGAGTTAGACAGCTGTTACGAAGTGCTTCCTGGCTGTGTGTGTGTGTGTGTGTGTGTGTGTGTGTGTGTGTGTGTGTGTGTGTGTGTGTTAGAGAGAAATATATGTAGTAGTAATAATAGAAGACAAATAAATTGTTTGGAAAGGCGGAATAAATACAAATAATAAACACACACACACACACACACACACACACACACACACACACACACACACACACACACACACACACACACACACACACACACACACACACATAGCGTTAGCCCTCACCTAGATAGGCCAAGTAACGGTGGGTCGCCCAGTTTCGAGATGAAAGGAGCGGTCAAAGCAAGAGGCAGTAACTTGCCAATATAGAGCCGGTCAAGTCTGGTGTTTGGTATTGACTCTATCCACAGAGAGAGAGAGAGAGGGGGGGGGGAGACCTAAACCAGCGACCGACGGTAACAAGATCATTTTTTTGTCTGTAATATCAATGAACAGACTTTTATAGAGCATCAGGAAGATTAACGCTCAATTAAGAACAACGAAACATTCTCCTTCAAAGAATACATTTCCTTGATTCCCAGCTTAAAGATCAAGTAAATAAAGAAACAAAGTCTCTTTTTCCAAATGTTAATTTCGCTAATGGCGTAAACTGAACTGCAAGTACACTACACAGAGCGTAAGCTTATAAAAGACCTTATTTGGACTCCTGCATCAGCAACGCTGCTGACAGATTTATTTAATGGAAACGATGGGAGCAAAGTTATGTTCTTTAATTGGCAGGATTCCCTGACGTTTCTCTAATGTTCGCTTTCAGTATTTTATGTGTTTCGGACGAAGAATCTATTTAAAAGAATTTGGCACCACCTCGCGGTAGGTTGGGAAGCTGCAGGATCTCGCGGTATGGAGTGGGTCTGTTTCAACTCGCGGTGTGGAGTGGGTGTGTATCAACTCGCGGTGTGGAGTGAGTCTGCGGGAACTCGCGGTTTGGAGTGGGTCTGCAGGAACTCGCGGTGTGGAGTGGGTCTGGAGGAACTCGCGGTGTGGAGTGGGTGTGTGTATCAACTCGCGGTGTGGAGTGAGTCTGCAGGAACTCTCGGTGAGGAGTGAGTCTGCAGGAACTCTCGGTGAGGAGTGAGTCTGCAAGAACTCTCGGTGAGGAGTGAGACTGCAGGAACTCTCGGTGAGGAGTGAGTCTGCAGGAACTCGCGGTGTGGAGTGATCGGGGGAAGGAAGGAAGGCTAGGATTTTCAGCCACTCACGATTAAGGGGAAGATCTGGGGTACGGAAACTGGTAAATGTGTGTGTATGTGTGTGCGTGAGGGCTGGAGCAACTCTCAAAGGATTTGTGGGTTTGGTGAGCTGGAACAGGTCGTGGTGTGGAGGGAGAAGGGCGTGGGGGGCTGGTTGCTTGTGACTCGCGAAGTGGATGTGGGGGCTGGAGTGACTCGTGGTGGGGGGGGGGTGTGGATGTGTGGCAACTGGAATGACATGTATTGTGGAGGATGCGGATTGTTCAGTGACATTTGAACTGCGACCATAAATTATTTTATTTACTTTTGCGTGTTTCATTCTGTGCGTTGGTTTCTGTGGCTCCGACACTCGTCTACACACATGTACACGCAGCTTTGAGTCACTCGTCCTTGTGTAGTGAAGATGGAGGCTGGACACATACTGGTGATGGCACATCTGTCATCTGCAAAGGGGTTCAACTCCATGGACCAGAGACAAGAAAGTGAAGCAAACAACCTTCAACACAGTCCTCGTGGCGATGTGGGAACACACCCGCCTGACGTTTCACGAGCGCTTTGGCCTGGGTTAGTATCCTGGCCGGGGAGGATTTGCTTGGCGCCAATCCTTATCTGTAGCCTCTGTTCACCCATCAGTAAATGGGTAACTGGTTGTTAAAGGATTTGGCGCGTCGTATTCTGGAGAAAATTAGGATTAAGGATTTGCCCGAAACGCTGTACGTGCTAGTGGCTTTACAACAATGTAAGAACTCTTGTATAAATAAATAAATAAATAAAAAATAAAACACTAATCACGAGGCGCACATTGACCGAGTAACATCAGCGTGAGGGCACCAATGTGAGATCCAAGCTTAACCAAGCTTACAGAGAAAATAAAGAAAGATTATTGACTTTACTCCCGGGTAGCCTCCGTGCTGAGAGGAATTATCTTCAACGAAATGGCGGCCGGAACAAGATTCCCCGACACTGCAAGGCGCCAAATAAGAGAGAATCTAATCACGACATAAAAGAATCTTCGGGGCTTAGACAGGTTTAAAACCAGCAGTGATCATATGAATTGAGGAAGACTAGAGATAGAGGACGCCTTGAGAACGTCCGGAAGGATAAGAGGAAGTTGACAGGGTCATTTTGCAGAGATGTTGACAGTGATTAAGCCGGACGGCACTAAGCAGTCGAGTGTTAATATCCGAGCCCAGGAGCTGAAGTCCAGCTCTCGTGGACAGAGGTGGGGTGAGTAGAGCTAAATGATTATACATAAATATCTTATCATTTTTACCTTCCTTACCTTAGCAAATCCCCAAAGAACTTTCTACACCATTGTCTCTGACTCCTTCATATTATTCTCTGTTTCCTCCTTCCTAATCTTCCTCTCACTTCGCTTTCTCTCTTCTCTCTCTCTCTCTCTCTCTCTCCCTTTTCCTCAAATAATCAAATTATCCCACTGTTACCCATCGCTTCTTCATATCTACAAATCACTTTCAATAACATTTCCCCTTTTCCCTATCCACCTTCCCTCCATCTCCTTCTATCCCTCTCTCCTCTTCGCTTTCCCCCTCTCATCCAACCTTCCCCTCTCCACTTCTATCCCTACCTTTCCCTTCCCATTTCTCTCACCCTCCCTCCCTCCCTCACCGCCGTCATAACACGATAACTCCAGCTAATGTGGTTCCTCTCAACCCGTTCACCGAAAACCTGGCGAGTGAACGGATATATTACCTCATTAAATGTATATGCCAAAAAGACTATATAATTAATATGCGTCCTTCAAGCCAGGAGGAGGCGGGGTTTTATGGAGTGAGGTACGATGGAGTCTGGTATGGTGCTTGTCTGCTGGTGCTTGTCTGCTGGTGCTTGGCTGCTGGTGCTTGTCTGCTGGTGCCTGTCTGCTGGTGCGTGTCTGCTGGTGCTTGTCTGCTGGTGCCTGTCTGCTGGTGCGTGTCTGCTGGTGCTTGTCTGCTGGTGCTTGTCTGCTGGTGCTTGTCTGCTGGTGCTTGTCTGCTGGTGCTTGTCTGCTGGTGCTTGTCTGCTGGTGCTTGTCTGCTGGTGCTTGCCTGCTGGTGCTTGTCTGCTGGTGCTTGTCTGCTGGTGATTGCCTGCTGGTGCTTGTCTGCTGGTGCTTGTCTGCTGGTGCTTGTCTGCTGGTGCTTGCCTGCTGGTGCTTGTCTGCTGGTGCTTGTCTGCTGGTGCTTGTCTGCTGGTGCTTGTCTGCTGGTGCTTGGCTGCTGGTGCTTGTCTGCTGGTGCTTGCCTGCTGGTGCTTGTCTGCTGGTGCTTGTCTGTTGGTGCTTGGCTGCTGGTGCTTGTCTGCTGGTGCTTGGCTGCTAGGGACTCCTGGGAGAGCGGCCCACAGCGCTGTTTAAGGTCGTTACTTAACGACCGTTCAAAAGCCATTACAGTGGTGTTGATGGTTCATTAACCACCGGGGAGCTTAGTTATCGACCGTTTTTACAAGCTGTTATCACTTGGAACTATTTACAGAGTAGTTTTTCCACAGAGACGATGAGTGATGTGATTTAGTGACGTGGAAGACTGCTGATGATCGCCTCAGGTAATTTTTAACGTGAAAGTCATTTGCGTTATTCAAGGATATTGATGAGGTTCATTAGTTAACGATGGGGGTTCGTTGAGGCCTCGGAGGGTTAAACGAGACAGGTGGATCCTCGTGGGATTACCCTTGATTCTAATGCTACTTGACCTTTAACTCGCTAGATCTTCAGCCCTCTTGATGTTCAACGCTTTTGACCTACGCTTTAACCTTCAATATTCTTGACCTTCTACTCTTTTTTTGACCTTCAGGGCTCTTTGACCTTCTTCTCTTTGACCTTTAGTGCTCTTTGACCTTCTACTCTTTGACCTTTAGTGCTCTTTGACCTTCTACTCTTTGACCTTCTACTTTTTGACTTTCTACTCTTTGACCTTCTACTCTTTGACCTTCTACTCTTTGACCTTCTACTCTTTGACCTTTAGTGCTCTTTGACCTTCTACTCTTTGACAATCTACTTTTTGACCTTCTAGTCTTTGACCTTCTAATCTTTGACCTTCTACTCTTTGACCTTCTACTCTTTGACCTTCTACTCTTTGACCTTCTACTCTTTGACCTTTAGTGCTCTTTGACCTTCTACTCTTTGACCTTTAGTGCTCTTTTGATCTTAATCTCTTCACATTCTTGCTTGAAGTCTTTCTTGATGAGGTTCCGAAGATCAGGGTACCTGAGTCCTCGGTCTCTGACTGGACCTGGTCGGCGATCTGCTCGACCAGACTGTTGGTGGTGGCCTAGCGCATGCTGACGTAGGAACCAGATGATGATGATGATGCTTTATATAACCGATACTTGTTTTTCTCCCGTTCATTCTTCTTAGCTTTACATGACCTTGATCATCTCTCCTGAGCTTATTGAATGGATAAAATATTTCTGAAATGTTAAGAAATTTGAGAAAATTGTGTATGGATAATTTGGTATTTTTTTATATATGTGTACACATAAAAGGAGATTAATGTTAGGTCTCATTAGACACACACATTGCCTAGGATAAATTTATGCACAGATAAGCTTTCAACTCTGCGCTGTGGGGAAGCGACGCTCCGTCAAGGTGAGCTGTCATCCTCATTAAGAACCAGACAGGTATAAATAATACAGGTTACCAACTACCAGTAATGTCGTCTACCATTGCAAGCGCACATATGAGGAAAATTTATGTGGTGAAAAATGTGACGTAATGAGAATCAGGAATGTGAGTTTTAGCCAGTCTGCATAATATTCGACCGACAGATGTATTTTTATTGTTTAAATTGACTAGACCGCTCAGTAAGCCTCAGAATCAAGCTGGAGTTGCTGCTCCAGTACTTGAGAGACCACCTACTTGAGTATTAGAGGAGAGACAAAGGGATGGAGGACTGTGAGAAGTGTGTGATCCCACTTGGGTAATCCCAGTTCCAAGTACACGCGCGCACACTCACAGTGAGAACACTGGTTTGCAAACAGAGTGGAAGACGGTTAGAACCAGTTAAGTGAGAAGGTGGCGGAGGCCAAAACCGTCAATAGTTGCATATCATTATATGACAAAGAGTTCTGGGAAGACGGGACACCACAAGCGTAGATCTCATCCTGTAACTACACTTAGGTAATTACACTTAGGGAGTTACACACCACAAGGGACGTTAATAGGGCCCATCCTGCTCCTAATATAAGTAAACAATTTAACAAATGAAGTAAACTCATTCATATTCATGTTTGCTGACGACGATAAGCTATGCCGAATCAGAATTGAGAAAGACACTAAAAGATGAGCTAAACAATCCTTAGAAATAGTCTAAGAAATGGCCATTAGACTTTAACCCAGACTACTGGAAAGTTATGAGGACGTACAAGACACTAAGGAGGACTGACAAGGTAGATACAGAAGCAATGTTCAAATTAAGAAATAATGGAACGAGAGGACATAATTGGAAACTGGAAACACAAATAAATCGCAGAGATTCCAGAAAGAACTTTTTCAGTCTAAAAGTCGTAAATCAGGGGAAAGGAGTAGATGTGGAAGTTAGCCAAGCCAATTCCAAATATTGTTTTAAATGAAAACATGATATAACCCATTAAGTGTAATAGGTCATTGCATTGAACTAATGATTGTCGAAACGCGTGGCATAAGAAGAGATGTGTTGGCAAGCACAACTAGGTGAGAACTACTAGGTGAGTTCCCTCTCTCGCTCTCTCTCTCTCACACACACACACACACACACACACACACACACACACACACACACACACACACACACACACACACACACACACACAAACACACAAACACACACCTCTTTCCCATTCTGCCATCCACTTTACCCTCTCTCCCACTCTCTCTCGCTCCCCTCCTCCCTTTCCCTCTTATCTTTTCTCTCTCTACCACCTCTTTCATCATCTCTTCCTCTCCTCCTCCCTTCTCTCTTCTTGTCTCCTGCTCCCCTCTCTCTTCCTCTCGCCTCCTTCCCTCACTCTTTCTCTTCCCATTCAAGCTACTCCATTTCACGCCTCTTATTCTCTCCTTCACCCGTTCCACTCTCTCTTCCACCCTTCTCCCTACCTCTCCGTTCCCTGCTCCGCCCACCACCAAGTTTGTAGCTCTGGAATAATCTATGCCAAAAGCATCAGACACAATCACCATAACAAGGCACACAATCACCATCACAAACGGCCATAAACATCCGCAAAAACACTCTACAATCACCTACATACACCAGTGAGAGTCGGAGCCTGACTTAGAGCGTTGATATTGCACTCGCTGGGCCAGCAAAGCCAGACTGATGTTTCCATTACCAAGTTAAACAAGCCGTGTTAGTCCCCAGCATACGTTAATGACCTTATTAAACGCTTCAACACGTTGCTCAACAGTGCTGGGTTGGCCTAGGATTCAAGCCAGGCCGCTGTAGCGAAGTCAAAAGTCGTAGCGACTCCCTATCGAACAATGGCGGCGAGGTGACAGACTGTATCGTTGATAACCACACAGCCTCCATGTAACTATCGCGGGAAGTTAAAAGTTGAGTCGTTTGTCACAAAGCGTCCAAATTATCAGCAGTCGCGGTGTTGGGAGAGGTCAACCAGAGATCAGAGTGGTGGATGTAGTAAATCAGAGGTCACTGCGTCGGATGAGGTCAGAGGTCATAGTGTTAACGAGATAATTAGTAGTTAAAGTAGGATGGCGTCAACCAGAGGTCATATTTTTGGATGGGGTCAAGTAGAAGTCCAGGTGTTAGTTGAGGTCAATAGATCACAGTGTCAGAAGAGGTGTTAGTGGTAGATGAGATCAATAAGAGATCACAATTCTAATTGAGGTCAATAAGAGGTCACAGTGTTCGATGAGGTCAATCAGAGGACAAAATGATGAATGCGGTTAATCAGGGGTCATAGTGACGCGAAAGAACAAAGGGTCAGAGCGATAGAACAGAGAGTTGAATCGGGGTCAGTGATCACTATTCCCAAATTAAATAAATATGATTTGAGTACATGCTGGTCTAAAATATTTCCCTTATTGAAGGGTACATAATTAGTACCATATATTCTAATTAACAAATAAAAATAGAGATGTTAAAGATTTAACTATTTACTGTAATAAAAATTATTAACAAATAATTTTTTATTGATAATAATAATAATAATAATAATAATAATAATAATAATAATAATAACAGCCTATCAGCACGTCCTTCCTTCAAGAACCCAACAACGTAAGTCCAGGTGAAATATGGAGCTACCAGATATAAATTTTCCCTTTGCAAGAACTGAGCAATTTTGACGTCCATATCACTCAAAATGCACCAAACTAGGAAACGCATTTTGGCAACAGGCTGATGACGAAACCATACTGACACTTCAACATTTCCAAAACCTTGTAAACGTAGAGTTAAGAACAACAGTCTTCAGTAGAAATACAGAATTCCTGCTTTGCCACAGTAGAGAGAATGTGCAATTCTAACTTGCAAACTTTAAAGTAACTCTAGTGACATGTAATAAAATTAAAAAATATAAGAAAAGAAGTAGAATTTAATTAAATAATTGTAGCTATTAGTAAAAAAAATTAAATTAAACGGCAGACAGTACGAGTGTGCCAGAGGAAGTACGGGAGTGTGTGTGAAAGAGAGAGAGAGAGAGAGAGAGAGAGAGAGAGAGAGAGAGAGAGAGAGAGAGAGAAAGTGCAAGTGAGACAAAGTGAAGGAAAAGAGAATACAACACCCCCTTATCCCCCCTCCCTCTCACTCCTCATCCTGTCAACACTAATACCTCATCTTCATTACCTTGTCCAAGCGGGCCCATGGTGATATTGTCAGGCCAGATAATCTATTAACAGCAGCAGTTTTACTCGCGATTATTCATCATTATTCATCGCTAGGTCATTAAATGTCCAAGCAGATTATTCATCGCGAAACAAGCTTTATACTACATGCATGCTGAGCACATTCACAGCATGTTGTTTAATGGCGTGGTGAGGGTAATACAATTATCCCATTATATCTCACTGAACTTTCATGGTGTATGCTGTGTATGACGCTAATGGTGAAGGTATTCATCGGAATTAGAGCGCTAATAGTTATAATTAAAATTGTATTAAGCTCAATGGATAGTGAAATGTATTCACACTCTGAGGTGGTAATAGTCATGAGGATAATTTAATAATCAAGAACAGTTTCAGGATATGCTTTTCATGAAATTGTGTATAAGTAATAGTAATCACTTGCTTTATAGGTACACAGAAGTTTCATTTTATTTATTTATTATATTGTGTTACTGTTTACAGAACAAACATAGCAATCACTGTTCGAAGACCTCATTAATCTCAGCAGAGAGGGGATGCGTGTCCATGACACAGAAAGCATTTCCTCTCAGAATCACGACACTGTGATGC